GAAATTTTTAGCCCTGATATATATATATATATATATATATATATATATACACACAAACATTATCAGAAGAAGGTCAGCAATGGGAGCCTTCATATTTTTCTCTGTAACGGTTTCCTGTAAAATTTAGGACATTCTTCTTGCTTAAATTTTTCTAGGACCAATCACAAAATCTCATTTAGGGCCACATGCCCTCAGCTTGTTGCTTGTTGCCTGACTGTGACTCCAATATTTTGAGACAATCACCTGGAACAAATAGGCACATTGAGATAGTCAGAGTAAGACCTCCTGGTCTACCTACTTCTTCCAGATCAATGACTCCAAAAGTAATAAAGTCATTGGAGTTGATATACAAAAGTCAAATTGGTTGTTTATTTTGCAAGGGGATTTTCCCTTAGCTTAATGAAAAATGTGAAGCTCTGTTGACTTGCATCATCCAATCATGTGCAATTAAAAATACTGTTATTTTAATTCTCCTTGCATTTGATTGGGTATTATTTGCAATGGAAATTTTTTTCACTAAGCTAGATGAAAATTCCCTTGCAAAGTGAACAGCCTACTTGCCTTTAGTAAATCAACCCCTTTGAATCAGCTTATCAACCATGGAACCGGTATTTTAAGAAGACAAAGGATAGCAAAAACAGCTTCCAAACTTGCCTTGAGCATTTTGATCGGGCATGGAATGGATGCCTTGGGACATTTCAGTAGAACTTTATATTTCAGATTTACCCATGAGTCACCGTACATGCATCTCTCCTTATTCACTGAAACATTCACCCTCCTGCACCAACATCTGCACTTACAGTTCATCATGACTGTACAGTATATTAAGAACTAGGGGAGTCAGCCTTTCCCAATTTCCCTTATTCCCTATAGAGACCTGCATTGCTCATTTCCTGAGACCTGCATTTCCTGCGCAATCACCTGATTCCATTATTTTTACTTATCCACATTTGCCCTCTGCAACATTTGCTCATAAGCTCTGGTAATCACTAAATCCAGACTTAACAATACTCCGGTATATTTCTACCTTCTATATGTAGTCCCATTTGGAAGTTGATGCATTTCTTTCCCAGAACGCTTAGCTGCATAGAGAGTTGGAAATCAACCAGCAGCAGGAATTCATACCTTTTTCCCCTTTAATGACAAAGGCAAATTTTGTCTTGCAGGAATATGAACAAATAAATAAATAAAACAGGGTAAGCAGTTCATTAGCAACTCTTTATCACTGGTTTTACCATGAAGCTAAACTTTACAGAGGCAATAGCAATTAATTCATATATAGCATACCGTACTGTTCTTTCATGTTAAATTGGTGTAATCACAGTTTAGATAAAAATCACTTGTTTCTTGTTAAGGCTGGTAATATCCCTCTGCTGGGACAATAACACTGGGCTCAGGCATTCAATCCTTTTCAGACTGTCAGGTTGCTGCTTTCTGCCTAATTCCGGAGCGCAAGACTCTGGAAAGAATCTCAAGCCAGTTTTTTTTTTTTAGGTCAGTCTGTTTAATCTTTCTGAGGAGGAAATAATAGGGTGATATAATCTGATCAGAAAAGCCATTCTTAAACCATTGAAGTCTTTTTTGACTGGTCTCTAGATACATGCTGAGTTCATCAGTGTGAGGCCTGCTTGTACCTCACATTTCAAGGGACAGTGGTTTGTACTGGAATGATCTCTTCTCTCTGTTCTATTTTAGGCTTAAGGGGAAAAAATAGTTAGGGACAAAGTTCAGAAAATGTGTTTCTCTGCAGTCCAGTAAACCGGTCCGCCATGTGACTGATGCCGTGGACGGATGCATGACTGCTGAATAGAAAGAATATATGCTTACACTGGTGTTATTTTATGCAGCAGCGTGGGCAATCCTTTTATCACTTGTTGTACAGAACCTGTCACAGGGCACCGGATAGCAGATGATTGAAAAATATGATCAAACTATCTTAATCTGATCTAAGTGCTGATCATCCAATTAGCAGAAATACAGCTTTGCTTATTTTTCAGCCAATGTGATTTGCAGAGAGCCATGCATTTCAAAAATTCAAGCAATGATTTATGAATTTTATGTCTCTCTACGGATCTACAAGTCCACAGGAATAAAAAAAATCTGCAGTTTCTCAATTCACCTGATTTGCAGAGTAGTTCACTCATGTAAGTTGTTATGAAGTGGAACAAAATAAAATGTAGTTGGCCAGCAGACACAAATGCAGTTCTGTCAGTGACAGATACTCTATACTTGCAGTCAGCGTTCACCTCAGTAAGGAATAAAACCTAGGCCTTGCAAAGTGGCATCTATGCAAAAAAAAAAAAAAAACAATTACAGTATATTAGCCAATTTTCTTGCAACATCCACTTTTTAAGGATCATAGACGCGTGTGACATGAGGTATGTATTCAAGTATATACAGCTGATGGTTGATAGGGTTTTACTTTTATGTTTTCATGGACTGTGCATTAGATCTCTGTTCATTTAAGATAAACTCCAAACAAACAGCTAAATGAACAGATGAAAATACTTAGGAGAGAGCTAATTTACCTGTCAAAGAATTTGTGTCTCTGTCCATCCAGTTCTAAGACATCCAGTATACAACTCTTCCATGAAGAACAGTTCTTTTAGGGCAAAGTAGAATATTTGTTTTGTCTCTGCTGCAGTTCAAGTAACAGTAAACTCAGGAGTTAAATCTTGAAAATGTATTCAAGTTCCTTAACTATTGACACTACTGTACATTATTTATGCATCACCCGTCTGTAGATCCTCAAATCATCTCTGAATTCATGTAGCCACCACTCATAAACTAAATGTATAGGTTGTAGTTTCTCACAGGAACGAGCTTGTACTTTACAACACACACAGGGACCATGGGGAACAAAAGTAGCCACCCTCCAGAAGCCACCCTCCAGACGTAGCCACCCTCCAGAAGTAAGGACAGTGTCAGCATAAATTTGAGGATCTATAGCCGAATGATACACAAAGAAGCTACATTTTTGTTAATAGTTAACTCCTAAGTTAAGTGTCACTTTAAGTAACATATTGTATAAAGGTCTTGTCCCCGTCCCTATGATGTGATTAGACAGTAAAAAAGAAAGCAGCAGAATTATGAGCTCTGTCCTCCAATCGACATTCCCTCCTTGTCAGCACATGAGCACTGTAGTACATCTGATTGGCTCCTTGTGCTGCTTCTCTCTTTTCCCTTCTGAGCTTTGCTGTACATGGAATTGCAAGAGGTTAATATCAAGTCAGATTCAGGTACTTACACTGTTTGCATTTTAGCTAATATATTTAATTATATATTATCCAATACAGAAAACTGCATTACTTTGTGTCTTTTCTATCTGCCTGAAGTTCGGATTTAGGCATCCAACTTTGGGTTTAATACTTTTCTATAGCTCGGTGCATATGAAATAGTACTTTAAGGAAGGGAAGTTAGATTTTAACTATATTGCCAAGATGTATTTTCTATATATATTTCATGTTCTATATATATTTATTGATATAATGCACAATATTATTTTTGCAGACTGAATATTTGATTGTGTTTTTTTTCATTTTCTTAGGAATATAATGCTGGGATTGTCATCACTGATATTACAATGACTATGACCACTTTAAAAAATGCTGATCGGAAAAGTTTTGAGGTCACCACTCCTTTTAGAAATTTTTGGTAAGAATACATTCTGTAAATAAATCCAGATTTACTACAGTAATAATATTATATTATTACTATATTATGATACAACATTTAACACAAATCTGTCATATGCTAACAAAAGAAAGCAAAATAACTACAGCTTCGTAGAAGGCACTCTAAAGCCACATACATACTACCTTGAGAATGCTTGCGTACAGTACCTCACCAATATTTATTTCCTCCTAAAACCTTCAATGTTGAGTGCAAATGTGCACACTCTCTCCCCATCCTACCTTGCAATATAGGGAGTCTAAGCACTTGTGAGGACAGTGTGCCTAGCTCCATGCAAATAGAAAGTGTTGTCATTTGCAATAAAAATATTGGGAAGACAGCAGCAGGGCATAGGGGGTAACCACTTTAATGGTATTATGTGGAACCCTTTATGTGTATCTTTTTTCCAAGACCCCCAAGGAATTATTAACTTGATTAGCACATGTTGAATAATGTTTTATATACAAATCATTTGCAGATTCAAATATTGCTGTTTAATAGATATATTTAAGTATGCAGATATATTTTAGAATCCAGACCCAACCCAACAATGATTCAGCCTGCAGTGTCAGTCAAAGTGTGATAGCCAGCATCAAACCACATCCGACTGAGATGATGCTGATGATTTACTAGTAAACAAATGAGAATGGGTTAATGTATATAACAAAAATACATCAGGGGAGGTAGGAACTAAAAATAAATAGCAGAAATGTACAAAGAAAAAAAACAAGGTTTTTTAATGACTAGCGCTGCTTCTGTTGTGGGCAGCTTTGGTCCCATTGATGCTGCTTTTGCTTCTAGGGTGTTAGTACAGGATTTCATGTAGTGTGAAGATCTCTAGTTTGGAATCCTTTGTTTTATTGCCAGGTGTACATGATCACTATGTATATAAGCAAATAATAAACCATGTAAAAACACAATAATTCTGCAGGTTAAAAATACTGGCCAAATATTGGAAACCCATCTTCTATAGAAAAATCAAGTTGCAACACACACACACACGTGTATCTGCTTAAGATGTTTACTACCAGCACCCATACATTTATTAGTCCTCATTCTTCCCCTCTTCCCTTCTACAATCATCAGTTATCCATCAAATAGATATACATATCCAATTATATTATTGTCTGTCATCTGGAATACTCACCTTGCCTAGGTGTATGTGGTGCATACATTAGGACACTAGTTAGTTGATCCAAGCTTAGCTCAGAAAACGATGGCGTGTGCACAGGTCCACTGTAGGATACTATGTTGTTACAATTTCTCGAGCAAGGATGTCCTTGCACTGTGCGACAATGCATATGTCACAGACTTCTTGCCATAGAGTAACTGTCTTTCTTAGCTCTTTGGTTCAACTTATTAGATGACACTAATGAACCATGATCATATTTCTGGTTTCCAGTAGCTAAGTAATTTCAAGGCTTTATATATATAGATATATATAGATATAGATATATATCTATATCTATATATATCTATATATATACTACAGTTATGGCCAAAAGTATTGGCACCTCTGCATTTCTGTCAGATTTCAAACATAAATGTGTTGCAATTACAAATGTGTAGGCATTCTCATGTTTATTTCTCTTGTTTGTATTGGTATGACACATAAAAGTAGAGGAAAAAAAAGTCAAATCTGACACATTCTATGCAAAACTCCAAAAATGGATTGGACAAAATGATTGTCACCTTCTCCAAATTGCAAGAAATAATTGCATTACAATTTTGTGGAAAAGCATGGACAATCTCAAGGTTACAAGTCCATTTTCAGAGATCTTAATGTTCCTATGTCCACTGTGTGCAAAATTGTCAAGACGTTTACAGCACATGGCACTGTAGCTAATCTCCTTGGACATGGACGAAAGAGATTGACAATTGATCAAAGATTGCAACGAAGGATTGTCTGAATGGTGGATAGAGACCCTCTGAATGGTTGTCTGAATGGTGGATAAAGACCCTCAATCAACTTCCAGACAAATGCAAGCTGGCCTTCAGGCACAGAGCACAATGGTGTCAGCTCACACTACATGTCAACATTTGAATGAAAAGGGATGCTATGGTAGGAGTCCCAGGAGGATTCCACTGCTGACACAGAAACATAAAAAAACCAGATTGGAGTTTTCCAAAACTTACCTAAGGAAGCCAAAATCCTTTTGGGAGAATATGCTGTGGACAGATGAAACAAAATGACAGCTTTTTGATATAGCCCATCATTCTACTATTTTCAAAAAAAGAAATGGTCTTTAACCACTTGCCGTCCGCCCGTAATACAACGGACGGACAGCACTGCAGCATTGGCGGGTTGCCGTCTCCAGACGGCATTTCTTTTCTGCTTGCACGCGCCCCTTAGTGGGCACGCACGGGCAGAAAAGACCCGACCAATGCAAACACCCGTTACCGGGTGTTTCACATATAGACGATCGGCGCCTCCATAGCCCGCCGATCATCCATATGTGCTGCCCCATCTGCGGCCTGGGACCGGCTCGGAGGGCGTCAGGTGGAAGAGGAAGGGAGATCAGCTCCTTGCTGACCTCCCTCCGGTGACAATTGTGCTACACACGTTACATATCGACGCGACCGTCGCAGTGAGAGCAATCATTTTAGGGCCATCAATCACTGATAACACTAAACTGATGAGCGGTAAAAAGCTTTTAAAGCGTCGCCTATGGCCAATTTTGGGTATTATTGTTTTTTGAGGTTTTGCACGCAATTTTAAGGCTTGACATGTTTGGTGTCTTTTTACCGGACGTGACCCCGTCTTTTATATTTTACCAAAAAATTGGGTAATAATAAATGTTTTATCATTTAATATAGGGGAAACTGTTTTTTTTTAATTTCGGTAATTTTTCCTCAATATAGTATATTAATATAGTAAAAAATAAAAACCCCAGTGGTGAATAAATACCACCAAAAGAAAGCTCTATCTGTCACCAAAAAAGTTTATACAATTCATTTCAGTACAGCGTTGCATGACGGAATAAATGTCTGTCAAAGTACTGCAGCGCTGAATACTGAAAAATGGCCTGGATGGGAAGGGGGTTTAACACTGCGGATGTCAACTGGTTAAAGAAAAAAATGCATTCCCAACAGTCAACTATGGTTGAGGTCCACTTATGTTTTGGGGTTGCTTTGCTGCTTCAAGCACTGAAAGTCTTGACGGTGTGCATGGCATTATGAAATCTGAAGACTACCAAAGAATTCTGGGGTGCCATGTAGGACCCAGTGTCAGAAAGTTGGGTCTCCATCAGAGGTCATGGGTCTTACAGCAGGACAATGACCCAAAGCACATGTCAAAAAGCACCCAGAAATAGATTCAGACAAAGCCAGCAATGAGTCCAGGTCTGAATCCTATAGATCCCCTGTGGAGAGATCTCAAAACAGCAGTTGGGAAAAGGAACCCTTCCAATCTGAGAGACCTGGAGCAGTTGGTGAAAGAAGAGTGCTCCAAAATTCCTGTAGAGAGGTCTAAGAAACTCATTGAAAAGAAATGGTTACAGGGAGTGATTGATTTCAGTTATTTTTTCCAAGGGCTGCAATACCAAATATTAATTGAGGGTGCCAATAATTTTGTCCAGCCCATTTTTGGAGTTTGGAATTTGTCAGATTTAGCTTTTTTTCCTCCACTTTTTCGTGTCATACCAATACAAACAAAAGAAATAAACTCATTCACATAAAAAGTTCAATTTCTTTAGCTTTACAGCAGACTCGGAAAGAGAAAAGCAAGACTGGATTGAAACATTAGAACAATCAATAGCAGAGACAGTAGCTGATTTTGAAGTAGCTGAAAAGATTTGGTTCAATGAATCGAACAGGAGTTGTGCAGACTGTCGTGCTTCAAACCCTGACTGTGCATCTATCAACTTAGGGGTTGTTATTTGCCGGAGTTGTGCAGGTAAATGAATATTATGATTCAGCTTTGTGTTGCTTAATGCAATTTTTATATGTTTTAGCATTTCCCTGTTCATCCTTTCTGATTAAGTATGTATCGCTTCTGTAACACTGTCAAGCAGAAAATCCTTCACTGAAAAAAGTGACAAATTACGGGAACACAGAGGGATTTTTTAATGTAAGGATTGCTGCAAGAGAGAAGCTAGCATGATTCACACACATACCCTTATTCCAAGTTTGCTGAAGAGTACATAGCAACTGGAATGAATGTAAAAGGGCTCTGTCAGCACAGACATAAGGAAACTGCCAGTGCTAACTTGGTTTTAAAGTTGATTGCTCCAAAACTGAAATCCTTGTCTTTGCTTTTTTTAACAGTCTGTGACCCAGAACAAACATGGGACACCTGATATGCATATGCTTCTTCTAGGTCAGGAACTTACCAACGGGGGAGACAAGGCTAAGGGGTCTATTCACGAAGCTGCCGAAGGATCTAGCCGATCCTTCGGCTAGCTTCGGCCCCAGGTCGCCCGCTCCTGGCCGCCAAGGAGAGAAACACTGCTGTTTCTTTTTTTTTCTTTATGCTGACACGGAGCGATGTCAGAATAGAAAAAAAAATGCCATTGGAATGCATTGCTTCATTCCTATTGGCTATTTCAATTTGCAATAGCCAATAGTAAACTAGCATTGTACCCGCCCTCTGCTGCAGTTCTCCATCAGCAGAGGGCGGGTACAATGCTAGTTTACTATTGGCTATTGCAATTTGCAATAGCCAATAGTAATGTCCCAATGCTTTTCAATGGGAAAATTCTTTTTTTTTTTTCTATTCTGACATTGCTCCGTGTCAGAATAAAGAAAAAAAAAAGAAAAAGCAGTGTTTCTCTGCTTGGCGGCCGGGGGCGGGAGGCTCCCAGAGCGCCCGGAGAGTTTTTTTTTCTTTTATTTTTTTTGACGGCAGCAGAGCCGCCGGACAATAGAAAACTATTGGGCGGAGCTAGCTGTCACTGCTAGCTCCGCACAATCGTTTTCTATTTACTTTTTTTGAAGCAAGCCGATGTATGGCTGATTTCAGTGTTCGGCTCACTTCAGTGTTCGGCTCACTTCACAAAAATGAAATTTGTCCAAACAAGGGTGCAATATTTTTGGATGCCATATATGTTCTCAAATTTCCAGGCAGAAAGAACGGGTAAAAGTGCAGGCAGGGCCCTGGACAAAGCTTTAGGGACAAAACTGAAATGGTTTGATACAGTAATGTAATTATAACAGATACACACAAAGTATTGTGTGTATGTCATGTTTCACTTTTGAATTTCCAGTCAGTTCCGCCCCCCTGCGACGCCGGCGCTCGCAGGGAAGGAACCTGGAAGACGGATGCCGGCATTGGCCAGAGGACACAGCGGGAGGACACCAGGGGCTCGTAGGGACAAGGTAATTGTCACTACAGGGTAATCCCGAGTGGGGCTTGGGGTTACCGCTTTTGGTACTTAAAATTAACCCCAAGCCACACTCGGGATTACTGCCAGGAAGGTTAAGTGCTTTGCTGTGTTTTTTTTTTTATCATTCTACTTTATATTTTGCAATATGTAAACTAAATACAGAGAAAGACCCCATAGGTACATGATGAATTGGCTGCTGCAATTGCCTTAACGTGACTGCAATTGCCTGTTATGCACAGAAAAGCCCACAGCCTCAGCAAAGGAAACATATTTTTGTGAATTTTCTTGTGAAAAACTAATGACATCAACAAAGGGAATATTTTTTGGTGCATTTTCTCATGGGAAGCTCATTGCCTCAACAAAGGAAAACATTTTTTGTGATTTTTTTTTTTGGCAGGCAAGTGACAACAACTTTTCGTTTTAGCTTTCTAGTTTCCTCTAGCACCTGCCAGCCCATTGGAAAAATATTTAAAGTAGTATTAAACTCTCAAACCTTTTTTCAATAATGAATCCAGATCAAACAAATATACATTGCCCAACAAAGTATGTCTTTACAATTTTGCCCAAGTGCTTGCAGTCATCATGTTTCCGAACAGCTCCAACTCTCTCAGCTCTGTTTCCCTGAACTTCCTGTCCAGTACAAGATCAAAAGGGACAGCACATTCTCCAGCAGCTGTCCATTTACTAGCATGGAGAAGGGGAGAGAGGGGTTCAAGGAGCAGAGGACTGGATTGCTCTGCTGTGTCTGTATGTTTGCAGAGGCACACTCAGCTCCCTAGCACACACAAGGGTGGCTTCATATGACCCTGCAAGGGAAAGGAGCCATCCTAAAATATCAGCACCAATTCAAAGATGATTTGAGGATCTGCAGCAGAGTGATACACAAAAAAGAAACATTTGTATAAATAGTTAAGGTACTTGAATGCATTTTTGAGATTTAACTACTGAGTTTAGTGTCACTTTAACATAATTACACTGCCGATTCATGTCCTGTCCAATAGGCTGACAGGTGATACAGGTACCAGAATTACAAATCCTTAGACAGGTAGGTCCAGCTGTTTCTTCAATGCCTCAACTGTGATGTCAAGCTACAAATATAAATAATTTGAAATATGAAAGTATAAGATGTACAGGAATAAAGCCTATATTGAAATAAAATATACAGTAACAGTGTTTTTAATGTACACTTTGAAATCCCATACAGTCTTATTTAGAGGCAATCCAAAACAATCAATCAGAATTAAGCATTTATTTCCTGTGCTCCTCAGCTTGATCCAGTGGCCATACTGCAGTGTTTTCTGAATGATACATTCCACCTGAAAAGCAAATATACTAAGAACTAGGGCTGTACCGATACCGATACTAGTATCGGTGTCGATACTGGGCATTTTCACACAAGTACTTGTGAAAATGCCCCGATTCTTAAGGCCGATACTGGCCCTTTAAATGTTTTAAGAAGTTTGGCTGCTTGAATTCCTGCGCTTGCTGGGGACTTCAGGCAGCCTGCTGGGGACTTGAGACAGCTGTCTTTGACAGTGCCTGTCTGGCCCCACATATCCTTCTCCTCTTTCCTGGCGCCCCCAAAGACAGGCACAGCACCGAACAGCCCTGGAGCCCTGCACCCGCCTGCAGAGACCAGCAGACCACGGGGCTGATTTATTATGTGGCTGGGCTGACTTATTATGTGGCCATGCTAGATGCCTCATCTCTCCCGGAGGGGGAAGGGAATGGAGGAAGACAAGCTCGGGCTGTCTATTGTGCCTTGAGATCTCCTGTGCAATCATGCCACAGCGATATAGGGATAGCTGTGGACAGGACTTACTTCGATCCAGATAGTGATTGCACAGGAGGGGGTTGCTGTATAGTTGCTGTGTTATCTACAATGGGAAGTTTGGGATGGATCTAGCATTAGCACCCCTCCCCATAATGAGTTGGAATTCAGACAATGCTATTGTCATGTGGAATGGGTTTAGTGCTGATTGGACACCATGTACAATGTATGTGACATGTTTAATGTATGGGAAGTTGCCAGTGTTTTCCTGTATGCGATCTGGATTCTATCCAGTGTAGATCCGATCCATGTGTTTATGATACTTGGTGAGTTCATACATGTCAGTGGGACAGATCTCTAGCATGACCTCTCTGTACACTGCCATGTGTGTTCCTCAGTGTAAACACTGCATTCTGATCATGCTGGCAAATGGAAACCTTACCTATGCTATTAATACAGTCGTAATGACTCATCCAGCAAGTTTAAATTAAAGTAATAATTAAACTTACTATGCAGTTAATATGAAATGTCAGCTTAGCCTTAACTGGAGCCAATGTCACCATCTTCTTATCATGCAGGTTATCACATTATAATAGGGAAAAGTTCACCTTTTAAGAATGTCCCAATACCAATATTAGTACCTAAAATCATTCGTCTGTATTGTTTTAGAAAAAATGTCACATGGTCCTTTAAGAAAGAGTATCGGTAATTGGTATCGGCAAGTACATGAGGGACAGTACTTATACTTGTACTTGGTCTTAAAAAAGTGGTACCGGGACATCCCTACTAAGAACGCTACATTTTTCCTCTATTTGTACAGAACAAACATTAAAAGAGATTGGCAAGACAATTGGCTCTCTAAATTGTTTATAAATAGTCCCCTATATTCATAGTAATCAATGTAGCTTTTAAATATGATTTTTAAAGGATATGTTTATTACTATAAAATGATTTATTTTAGATTAAGGGTGGCCATCTCCTGAAGAAGCAGATCTTTGCAAAGAATATAAGATACATCTTCTCATTTAATCCATGTTAAGAGGGAAAAAAATGATATGCATATCAAAGTAATTTTGTATGTCAGTTGCATAGTTTTGTAAATGTAAATAAAGTTTGTGTTTTTATTAGGGTTGCACAGATACCAAGTACAGTACTTGGTACAAGTACGAGTACATGTACCGATACTTTTGAGCTCCAAGACTACACTAGAGAAAAATTCAAAAATTAGGAGGCAGCTGTCATTTGTAAGGAGCACACGGAGCTCCCGGGATTTGTACATCTCTGTTTTAATGTACGATTTTGTTTTTATAAATATAAATAAAGTGATGCACAGATACCAGTTTTGTGAGTACTGGTACTTGCCGAGTACTTACACGTACGAGTACTGATACATTTTTGTTGTCATGTGACAGTTTTTCTAAAACAATACAGACTAATGATTTCAGGACAGTGGTGGAGTGCCAGAGCCAGGGCCCAGCTGCAACCACTGCAACCCTGGTAGTTCTCATGAAAATGCCAAGTATCTGCACTGGTACTCGAAAAGTATCTGTGCATCCCTAGTTTTTATTGTATAAATATAAGTTGTATAAGTCAATCCTTTGGATACCTCAAAAGTCCTATTTCAATGTTTTTAACTTTATGAGAATTTTGATATTTGGATGTGGCATCGTAAATAATAATATACTGCGACTTGAAAACAAGATCATTAGTCCCCTATTTGTTATAAAGTTGTTAAAGGATTTTGATCAGAACAAAACTGACACCTCTCAAGCATTAAATAAATGTTCTGATCCTAGCTGGTGGAACAAAACTGCACTTGGAACATAATCACTGCTGCTTTACTGAATAAGTTTCTTAATACTTTTATAGCTGATAATATGTTGGGCAGTTATAAAAAAATAAGCTGACATACCAAACACAATCTCCCGCTTCCTCGCTTCCAAACATTGTACAGTATTCCATAAAGGAGGCAGCCACTTATGATATTTGTGTTAGTAATGATATTCAAGATGCTAAGTCACAAATCACGTTGTGTACAGTATGCACAGCACTGTTTACATTCAGTTAGAGATTTCAGACTTAACATAAAACGGCAATTTTACAGCTGTACAAACTGTCACTATGTGGAAGCTGTAAGCAGAGAACAGATGTGAGATCGCCTAATAGGCTGGGTGAAAGAAAAGTGAATTACATAGCAGACTTTCCACAGACAATGTGAAATGTTAGCTTGTCATATGCCACTGAATATTTCATACGCAGAACAAAATACTCTGATGTTCCCAAATCAATGTATTTATGCAACAGGTGTGAGCACTAAATGCTTTCTATTTAATGTTTGTGTTTTCTTAGGGGTAGAATCCTAAGATTCTCGGTTTGTACATGCATTTTAACAAAAAGAACATATATGTCTGTATTTATGAATGTGTCAAGTTTATGTCTGGCTAACATTAAAAAAACAAACAAATAAAACATTTGAAGTACATCTCTGCAACACATGCACATTTCTCCATTTTTTATCACTTTACAAATACTGCAAATATTATTATACAGGATTTATATAGTGCCAACAGTTTGTGCAGCGCTTTGTACAGAAGTATAGCACAGTACAGTACAGAAGAATACCTGGTGATCCTGTCAGGATCCCAGTGCACTCCTAACTTCCTGTTGTGGGTTGTCAGCCCTACCTCTGCTGCTCTGCAATTCCAGCAGTTTTTTAAGCCCTGCCTGAGTTCTCCTATGCTAGAACTTCACATTTCCCCACCATACTCTGTCACTCTTCACATGCATACATCGATTTTTTTTGACAGCAAAACAATGCTTCTGTCCTGAGTCCCATGAACCTGCTCACACACTGAAAGGGCTCCTGGGAGATGACGTTCTGGGGTGTGGGGGAGTATACATCAATATGAACTGATGTAGGGCACCCTTCTTTATCCTCCTGCTAGCAGCTGCCCTTTTCAGAGTTTAACCTTGCTGTTGATGATGTCACAGGGAGTAATAAAGCCTGTTTCAGAAAAACTGGGGCTTGCTCTTTAGGGGAAAGTGTTTTGGGGGGTTGAATATGGGTTATGCCTTTACATTTCCTTAACTGTGCGTATTGGGAGGGTCAATCCCCCAGCAAGAACACAGGCCACAGTAAAAACCTGACAGGAATTTTAACCCTTCCATGATTATTGCAAAACGAAAACATAAAATCGTTTTGGCTTTAGATTTAACAATGTGGAGCTTTTATCTTCTGCTACTACCAGCAAAGGAAAAAAGTACAATTCTGTGTTCTATTTATTTTATGAATATGTTTCTGTAGAGCCTAATTAGTCTGCTCCCTTCCTCGCAACTATTATTGCTATTATTTGTAAATTATTATTATTAGCGCTTTACAATATAAGGAAGACATTACAGTTACAATACAATTCAAGACAAGACAAGATGGTAAGGAGGGCCCTGCCCCTGAGGTAAAATTATAACTCTCTGCTTTACAGTAGTAATGAATTATGTACGTGCTGGAGGTTTCAGGTCAGGTTTTAGGTGTTAAAACAGCAGTAAAGGCTGAAAAGCAGGATGAGGTTAGAGTACGTGGCTTCTGAATACGACCTGCAGTGGACTCTGATTTAGATGCATATGTCTCTAGTTGTATTAAACTGTTTAATCTTTCATAAACAAAAGGTCAACAACATTTTAACCTTGCACTTTTTTCCATGTCAAAGCTAGAAAAATTTCATATATCAGAAAAAGAATCGAACAAATAATAAAGTTGTAAATATAATTACAAGTATTTGTATGATTGCCCCCATAATAGCCCATTTCATAAAGGTCTTGGTGCTATAACTCTGCAATTTCAGTAGAACAGTTTTCTGTGGTTTTGAATAAGCCAGCTTCTCTTAAGAAGTCTATATACATTGCAATCTGATTGTATTATCTCTGTACTGCTTAATCCCCTATTGAATTACCAAAGTTCAAAGCAGGAGCACTGAATATGTTCAAGCCGTTCTCTCAGCAGCTCAGCTTACATTGCTTGGCGTTGTCCCAACATGGCAACACACTGGTCCAAATTCGACCACTGTATGGGCAGAATAAGAGGAGGAATTGTTCCACAGTGCCTTCAGCTACAGAGGTCAAGTAGGATTTGCTTTAGAGCTAATTTACTGATTGCTAAGAATATGTAAATACATGAATACCTATCCTGGCTACAAGTTCACTTTAATTCTCTCTGCAGAATCTATACTTGAAGCAAATACAATGCCCGTACATGCGTCAGTTATGATTATATAGGAGAGTAACAAACAAGTAACAAGTGTTTTGTTATATCTGTTTTGATCAGTGCAGAAAAAAATACTGATGTTAGAAATTCAAATCTGTCCTGTCTTTTGTGCACAGTTGGGCGAAACTTACTCAAACACAGTTCTAAGAGGTTGAAGACCTTACACAGAACTCAGTGGCTCTCCTTTCAGGCATGGTCACAGGGGGCACTTCTACCTTACCAAGTCAATTTCCAGACACAGAGGTCTTCAATCAGCTTGTTCTTCAACTCCCTCATTTGGACTCTGAGGAACTCTCCCTCATGGTTGGAGGCAGCGACATCAAGAATGTGTGAACCATCACTCCAAATCACTTGATGCAGACACAGAACATTCCTCAAGTCTAGTTCAAGTTCATCCACCTTGCACTGCCCCTCTAGTTCATTGTACTACCCCCGCAATTATACATTTCAGCTAGACCCATTTCCTTGGTCCCAAATTCATTGTTGCAGGATCAACAGAATGTCCAGATGGTATTGTTTGTGATAGAAAAATTACCTTTACTCATAATAATATAAGTTCAAGAATGAAAGTCAATCTGTATCCAATTTGAATGTTGCATAGCAATTTCACATTGGATTTGTTTTACCACATTTTTTTAACATGAAATATCTCAGGTACACACTACGCCCTTTGTTGCAATAACAACGTGGTAAGGGTTCCCCTTGTCACCAGTGCTCTGTCTCTGGAAAGTATATATATTAACATTCCCAGGGGAACTGTACAACTGGTCATGTTCAGCTAGGACAGGAGTAAAGAATCTTGCACTGCTCTCATTTCCACTGTTCTCTCTCTGAATTAAATAACTAGAAAAACAACAGCTCTTTGCTTTTCAAGTTTCCCTTTTACTCCCCCTACATCATCAGTACTCAATCTTGCAAACCCCCATGGAGCCCAGCTCTTTCATGACTTGCAGAAACAACTGCCAATTAGGAGAAAATATGCCAATACCAATCCCTTAAGCTGCCCTTATATACTTCTTGTGTTATCACAAGGGGTCTATTTAGCCCTCCTTAGCCTTGCCAGTAGTTATCTAGGGCAGGGCTCAAAATTTCAAGTCCTGAGCTACTAGCCAGTGCTACATAATAATTTGTATCCATGTTGTGGAGAATAGGGTAGGGGGGATATAAGTAGTTTAGGAAAAGAAAACTGGCCAGGGCTGACACCATTCTTCCCAACTGTCTATGCTTCATATCACAGCTTTTATAATACCGAGGAAAAAAACACAGATAGTACCAGTGATAATACTGCAGAAAATATTAGTCTTAGCTTTAAGGTATCAAATATCCTATGGAATAAAATATTCCAGTTTTATTTGCTGTAACCATTCATCACTGTACTTTGTTTCAATAACTTTATTACATTTTCTTTGTATAACTTCGTATTTTTAAGCATTTTAGTTGGTGAGTGTTTATTTTTTTTTAACTTAACCTTTTGTGTAATTTGGGGTGTTCTTGTACTTACCATTATTTTACTTTAATCTCCTATTACTTTAGGAGAGGGTTTTCAATAATACCTCTTTATTTAAAGCCTTTTGAATTATTAGGGTCTTTTGAATAGTTTTATTTTGATGTATTTCATGCATTTGGCTAAAGGTGTCAGTCTATTTCTACCTGTCTATAGCACGCATGCAAGTCCACATTTATGTACAGCCAACACAGACTATGATCAAGGGCATAGTCTAATTTCACCACAGCTGGATGACTGGAGTTTGCCTATCCCTGCCTGTGGTATTTGAGGTGCTTGGATAACACCCACCCACCCATACATTTCATTCCTGACTGTCAGTAAAACATTTCTATGTATAATAAAAAGCCCCAGTCTTTCAGTGCAATCCGGCTAGATCTTCATTGTTGCTGTCCATCCAGTTTGGGTATTTTTGTTGATGGTCTAGCATACTGTGTACTTTCAGGCCACCTACTAGGGCCTACTACTCTAGTTTGCCCTACTTTTCTAGTGATCAGTTCTAGGTTAACTTATCCATAGAGAACCAGCTGTCTTTTTCATCATCTCTAGCCCCAGATACGCAGCTATGATATCCAATAATGTAAAACATTTTTACAAAAAATGCTGACAATGGGAGGAAAACAATAATTCTTTCACTGCCAACAATGTAAGGCTTATGTTGGAGGCAGCATGGGCTTTTAGACACACTCTAGCTGCTTTAGAATGGAAATGGAAGAATGAATCAATCTATCAATGGTGTTCTTTATATTGACAGGTCAACACAGAGCATTAGGAAGCAAAATTTCAAAGGTACACAGTTTAAAACTGAATACATCAATGTGGACCAATGAACTTGTCGAGGTATATTATTATTATTATTAT